CTGCATCGGCAGGCGGACTCTCAACCACTGTGCCACCAGGGAAGCCCGTTATTTTACTATTTTCGGTCACTTTCTAAAAGAAATTTAATTGTATTTTATCAAATAACATTTTACACTTAAAAAACAAATAATTTAAATAGCCCTAAAAAGGACAGTACTTAAGAGATCTAAATGAATTCCATCCATGCAAAAATGTTTACATATATGTATTAGTAACCTGATCCCATTGTACTTTGTTCCATGCAGAGGCAAAGAGAATCTAAATATTTAGAAATATGAAAGATATCAGAAAAAATAGATTTTTAATGCTTTTATACTCCCAAAATACTCTTGGTTTTGATCCTATAGCCCGCAGAACACAAAAGCAACTGTAAAATACTACATTTGGGGAAGAGGGAATTCCCTGGCAGGGGGCACGGGTTTGATCCCTGGAGAGGGAACTAAGATCCCACATGCTATGTAGCGTAGCAAAGAAAAAAAAAAAATTGGGGGAAGAGATGATGCCATGCTCAAAGACAAGATAATTCTACAAACTTTGATAGCATTAAAAAAAACAAAAACAAAAAACTGGCTTTAGAAATACTGTCATTGGGGGAAAAAAATCTACACATTCAAGAACAAACGATGTGTGTAATATTTATGATTATTTCAATAATACCCTGTGCTTATACTATGCCCTTTATTGCAAGGTGCAAAGCACTAAAAATGAGCATCCTTTAGATATTTAGGGTAATTTGAGGCATGGTAAATTTGCCGAAGGCAAGATAAAAGCCAGGTTTTTAGAAAAAATGATTCAGAATTTCACATTTCCCATACCTTAAAATACAAATTATAGGGCTTCCCTGGTGGCGCAGTGGTTGAGAGTCTGCCTGCCGATGCAGGGGACACGGGTTCGTGCCCCGGTCCGGGAAGATCCCACCTGCTGTGGAGAGGCTGGGCCCGTGGGCCATGGCCGCTGAGCCTGCGCATCCGGAGCCTGTGCTCCGCAACGGGAGAGGCCACAACAGTGAGAGGCCCTTGTACCGCAAAAAAAAAAAAAAAAAAACAAAAATTATATGCCATCTTTAATGCCTCCATCTTATTTTATCAAACATTAGTAAATTTATTATTATAGTTTAAGTTGTATGCCCAAATATTGTGATAGGTAAAAGCCATAAGCTTTCCATCATGTTTTACAATAACTCCATTGAAACAGGAAAGTTAAGTGAAATACAATCAATTTGCTTTTTGTTTTTTAAAAAAAATTTAAATGAGATTGTTTTAGGACAGTTCTAGAAATTCTTGATTTTTCTCAGCAGAATTTTACAAATATCTGCTTTATATGCCAACATTAATATGATAGTTCTTTCCTTAAATATATATTTTACTTCTAGTCCTCTTTCCTCAAGATCTTCTGTCTCTTTGTGAACTGAGTTGGTGATTCATTAAAAACAAAATGTTAAGGTTTTGTGAAAGTACAAAATGGTTAATGTTGGGTTCAGTCAACTAATCTCTGATAACTTGCTTAATTAAGCTAAGATCAAGAAGTATGAGGAAGAATTCAAAACATAAGTAGTCAAATACTAGAAATTTCAGACAAAAAATATATACATATATTCCAAAGACTAATCTTAACCTTAAATCTATGTCTCATTCAACTACTAACTTGACATCTTGAAACATGAAATGTTACTTTAACTATGCACATTGAAACAGCATATTATAGGAAGCAGCCAATTCCAATTTTAGCTGCCTCGAACAGCTTGGTGATGATTCTTAAATCTGAGACTCCTTTGAGAATCTATTAGAAGTCATGGATCCTTGCTTCAGAAACACACACACACACACACACACACACACACACACACACGATGTATTTTTTAGTGTTGATAACGTATTATAAATCACAGCATTGTTGATTCAATGGGATTAACATGAAGAAAATTTTCATACTGTTAACAAAGACTGGTCACTAACCTTAAGGAAAAGTCTTTGAAGTATGAGACAGTTCAATGACCATATCCATTCATTCATCTGCTTCTTTTGCTAGCTCTGGTTGCAGAAGAGGTGACTGGTTGATGCAAATGTGTCTAATCTAACCTATAAATCTTAAAAACAAAACTGTTTAAGTTCTAATTTCTACTAGCAGTGCACATGTAACAGTTTTCAAGCATTATAAAATACTGTGAAGGAAAGACTTTAATATACCACTATCAAATTCCAGTGTACCTAAACCAACAATGAAATGTCTGAATATGTAATTTGTTGACTTGAGCAAAATGAAGACATAATAGCTCTAAATTCTTTATAACTTTCAAGGATGGGAAACCAGTATCTCTCAGAAGTTTTTTTTTTTTTTTTAAATAGAATTGAACATTTAATTTTCCCCCACAGTATTCAAAGTAAACATTTTATCATTATTACTCTTGGTATATCAAACTGAATTCCAGGAATGTAAGAAAGCCTGACTGGGAAATATTACATAGAAAAAGGTTGAATTAACAAAGACATTACATTTCTTAGTTATTTCTTATAAGTATACATTGACATTTACTTATCTGATAGCAGCACTGCTGGTTTTGAGTGAATTTTTTTTTCTTCTAATGGGACTGCAGAATGGCAGTGTTATCTTTGGAACAAATTAAGACAGTAACAATTAACAGAAGAATACCTTCTACACATATATTTTGCAAGGGCAATAAATAGTTAAGTATATAATTATGGAAAAATATGCCTCAAATATGTTTTTTAAAATTTCTCAGGATTTATTGTTTTGCTTCTTAATAAAATATAATGCACTGTCACTACTATCTGTTCTGGGAAAAACAAACCCTGAGGTTTGAGTTTCCTCCTTTAACCAACAGAGTGATATCAAGAATAAACTTGGCCTAAAAATCAACTTGTTTGAGCCAATAGAGAATTCTGTAGTACATTTGATTACTTTAGCAATATACACATATTCTGGGTTATTATTAAGAGACTAACCAAATATTTTGTATGAAAGTTTTATACCCCAAACAGGTTCTCTGATGACTTATCATGCTAGCATATGAAATTTGAAGGAATAACAAATGGTATAACATAAACAGACATGCAATATAGAAGGATGTAAAAGATACAGCTTGACCCTGGATATTTCCCTTAGAATAATTTCTTCCATAAATAAGACTTTACTTTTTACATATAGATTTATCTTATATCTGGTCCTGGATCACGGAGAATGTTAAGGACATAGCTTAAGAAATCAAGACATTTTATTTGTAGTCTTTTGTCACCCCAGACCACAAAAAGCATTCTCCAAGTGGATGCTCAGGTTAGATTAAGATGCTCTTGAACAAACAAATTTACTGAGGCTTAGACTGTAAATCACGTAACTACTTGCAGCAGCAATAGTCTTTTCAAAAATGACTAAAACAAACTTTTAAATATAAAGCATATAAAAAGGACTATTAAGGATAGTTTTCCAAACTATAGAAATACAGGAAAATATGTGTTGCCTCATAATAAAGTACAATAAATATTCTTTCTGAATCCTAGAAACACTATAAGATGTTATAGGTTTATTTGGTTCTCATAAGTTAGAATAATCTGATTGCTTCTACATAAATTCCTCCAGATTCTTATCCTCAAACAGATTTTTTACTAATGCTTTTCCACTAGACTGAGAGATTATCTAACATCCTTTCAAAAATGTGCTTTTTTGTTGGTTTTAATAAGTATACTTAATTTTCTAGAAAATAAACATTTAAAATTTAAGGTTCAAGGTAATTTTAGAAAAAGGTAGACACTGAACTATCTCCTTTTCTATTTCTACATCTCCATATTTACAAGGCCTAGCATCCACATGGTTTCCTCTTTATACTCACTTATCACACTATCAATAAATAGTTTAACTGTGGTCCAAGTAACCTTTATTAAAGATTTCAAAATTCCTCAAATTTTATAACACTACAAAGTTATTAAGATTTGATTTTGATGAGTATTGGTGTTATGTAACTTTTTTTTTATTGGAAAAGAAATACAAATCTTTTTTTTTCTATCTAAATTAAATCCAAGCTCCATTATCAGTTCTCAAGATAATATCTAAAATGTACATTCCTAAAGAAAGGTAAAGCTGTTCAAGGGCTGAACTAGTCCAATATACAATTGAGGGTTATTTATTCTTGTTATTTTTGTCTTTTCTTTTTAAATCTATATTAAACCCCTGGTTTCTCATGGATTAGGTCATAACTTAACATTGTAAAAATTAATTTCAGAAATTATTGTGCTAATATTTAGATTTGAGGAAGGAAACAATGAATACTATTCATTATTAGAACAGAAGATGAAATAGCTTACTAACTGATATGAGTTATGAATGTCACTATGACACAAATTTGCTGTGATTTGCTTATTTGGCTACAAGTGCATTATTTTTCATGAATGACAACACACAGCATTTTAAACTTGTAACATGAAACTCCAGCTCATAAAGAGTGTACTGTGTGACTTGAAAAAGTCTGATTGTAACTAAGTAACAACCTTTCCCCTGAAAAACATGAACAAAATCCATTGGGAAATCAGGCACAGACGGTATTTATCGGTTTTTCTTCCTTTCCTCCTATGGTTTTGTTTCTGAAGACATACAGATGGTTCCAACAAGATCCACACTTGTTACAAAATGACACAGCTATTTTTTTCCTTTTCTTTATCTTTTTCTCGAGGTTCCTTTCGTTTACGTTCACTATTCCCAGATTGTCTGCCACTTGATGGAGAGGCTTGAGCTGGCTGGCTTTGCTTTAAGAAAAATAAACAGGAAAAACTTACCACAATTTTTCCAAGATGCTTAAGTATAGTTATCTAGAAAGAAAACCTACAGGAGTGAAATGAATTATTAATGGAAAAAGGCTATTGGTGTATAGACTTGTTATGTGATATGGTATCTGAATAACTGCCTCTATCATTCAGAATAGATATAATTAATGTATCCATTATTCTAAGTAAATGGAACTTCAAACAATAAATAACATATAGCATTATATTGCCTGAAGACTCAAATTCAAGATAACTTATGTTAAAGTTTAGGAAATGTTAAAGAAAGTGACACCTTTTGGCAAGCTACAATAGTTTTCCAAGATCTCATGAAATACTATAATAAACAGATTTTAAAAGGAGGGAAAAAAACCCCTGAGGACTCAGAGTGTGAAATGTGTATTCTGTGCAATGAGAACTTTTTTAGTGAAAAGCTAATCATAACATGGTAGGTTTTAAATTTTAAGCTTGGAGTAGTCAATATAAGCTTGGAGTAGTCAATATTTCTAGAAATAGAAATGTTATACCTATTTTAATAGAGACCTCTATATTTAAAGTTTCATCAGACCTTAAAGGGCATCAAGCTTTCTTGAATACCCAAATCAAAGGAATAGTTCTAGCATGGTACAAACATAAAAGAAGGGGAATATTTTTTTCATTTAATGAAATGAGATTTAAGAAATAGAAACCCCCTTAGTTACATTTTCAGCGCTTAAAACATTTAGCTGGGGAAAGTGGAAAGGTGCTAACCTTTGTTGAATACTTAGCACATGTCAAACATTGGATTAAATGCTAACATTATTTATTCTTAACCACAAACCTAAGGGTTAAGTATTATCTTCTTTTTTCTAGATAGGGAAAATGAAGCTAAGAGACGTAGAGGACTTTGTCCATGTTGCACCTAGTAAGGGGAGACAGAAGCAGAAAATGCAAATCCACATTTATCTGGCTCCAAAGTCTACATTCTTCCCAGCAGTACCTCATATTGCCTTCTAATTGATAGGAAAGATTTGTTCAAATTGCTTTATATTGTTTGAAGCTATTAAGAACTTAATAAATTTGGAAAATCTTCCCATCAGAACCTCAGAAAAAGTAAAATTAACTAAATTAGAAATATATTAAGATAATCACAAACTTAGGACAATATCATAAAATCCATGGATGCTAAAAATGCTAACAGAGTCAATACCTAACTTAAAAGTTGTTATCTCAGCACAAATTTCTTTATTGCTAAAGTGATCATTATATTTAAGAATCAGAACACTAGTTTTTACCTGGGCCTGTGTAGAAGCAGAAGCAGCAGCTGCTGCTGCTTGTTCCTGTTCCTGGTAATATTGAGAAGCTCGTCTATCCTCCTCTTCTTGGAGTTTCTTTGCTAGTTCCAAATCACTGATTCCTTCAGGTATTTGTTCCCAATTGATCTCTTGACTCTGCTGTTCTTGTTGTAGAGATAATGCCATAAGATAGTCCTAAGAAATTAAATGATAACCATTTTTAGCTATGAGATTTTATCCAAGAACTAACGTGTGTGAATATAGGGGTTATATCTACAGACCTATCAGAGTGGCTTTTAAAAAACATACCAGAGGGTAAATGTAAAAATTGAAGTTTTCTATATATTTGTTTGGGAGGTATGAAATTATTTCAGTGATGTTGCCATTGTTATAAATATTTTAAATATTCATTTGAAATTCCTTCTAGAAGCAGTATATAAGGCATTCAGAAAAGCTTAAAAAAAAACCCACGTCTGTAGAAAATTGTTACAAAGTAAAAAAGCATAAATAAGAAAGTTAAGATTACCATAATATCATTACACAGAGCCAACTACTGTTAACAATTAATATATAATTGTTATATATTAATCATTTTTTTCTATATTCACATACAAACACAAACACATCTCCCAACCCCTGAAACTATCATAATCTGCTTTCTTTTCCATTTAATGTCATAAAAGTCTTCTGTTTAAAAAAAGTTATAAGAACTTCCCAAGATTATTTATTAAATATTCTTCCAGGGCTTCCCTGGTGGCACAGTGGTTGAGAGTCCGCCTGCCGATGCAGGGGACACGGGTTCGTGCCCCGGTCCGGGAAGATCCCACATGTCGCGCAGTGGAGTGGCTGGGCCCGTGAGCCATGGCCGCTGAGCCTGCGCATCCGGAGCCTGTGTTCCGCAACGGGAGAGGCCACAACAGTGAGAGGCCCGCGTACCGCAAAAAAAAAAAAAAAAAAAAAAAAAAATTCTTCCAAAAGATGATTTTTAAAGCCAACATAGCTATCCATCATACAATCATATTCAGTTACTTAACTATGCCTTTCTCCTTCCACACACACACACCCAGATTATTTCCTATGAGAGAAAGTGATGCATCTTTGGTCAAAAGTTATATTATCTAACAAAACATCCACTTTTATTAAGAATTAGTGATGAATGAAACAGGACTACTCTTGTGCACCTCCCCCAATCTACCCTCAAAATAAGAATTTTAAATAACCACAGAGGATATGTAAAAGGTTGTTGCCTGTGAAGACCTTGTACTATCTAGCATGATTATCTTACTGACATCAAGAATTTGTCCTTCAGAGTTTTCTCCTCAATTCTTCAAACTCTGCTCTTTGCTAAGTCCCTTCACACACAGTAGTTAGAAAAATCCTGTATATTTCTCTTAAGTAACACTTAAAAAACCATGCTCCTGTATATCTTCTGAAGGAAAATGAGTATGTTGATTATTATGGCTGTTTGTCAAAGGAAGGCCAAGAGTCCTAGAAAGATCAGTATTTGTTTGAATCAAGTATTCTTTCATCCATTCATAGACTGCTATTCAAATTACCATTATAGAACTTAACATATAATATTAGTTGGTCAAATACCTGCCTCCCCAACTAGACTGCAGAATCTTTGAGGACAGGACTGAATGATTTATCTTTGTGTCCCCAGGACGCAGTTACAGTGCTCAATACAACTGCTCAATGAATAATGGTTAAATGAACACAGTCTCTATGCACTTAAATTGTTATCATCGAAACATGTGTCAACTGTTTAACATAAACATATTTCCGCCTCAGTTGAGGAAAATGTCACATCACTGTTATACTTCTAGTAATAAACACACTTGTGGCTCTAAGCCTACCGACCAATAGCCGGCAAAAATCTCATCTGTCTCAGTTCCAAATAAGAATTCTGCTCAGTAGTGCAGCTCCTGCTCTAAGTGTCTGTTCCTCCTTACCTTGGACTCTAAGGCTTAGAACACCCCCCTACTCTTTATCCAGTGTATGCTATCTTCAAGATTCCCTCTTCTCTACTTTTTCTGACTAACCAAAATAGATCTCAAACATGTACTTGTCTCTTCATCTCTACCACCAAGGCTAAGCCATCGTGATCACCTCTTGCTTGGACTGCTAGTCTGCTTACAACCGTGTCCTTCCTATGCATTTGCCACATAGCAGGTTTTTATAAAGGTAAAGTAGTGCTCGCTTCAGCAGCATAAATGCTAGAATTGGAACGATACAGAGAAGATTAGCACGGCTCCTATGCAAGGATGACACTCAAATTTGTGAAGCATTCCATATTTTTTTTTACAGAAGTAGAAATATACTGTTATACACATGAAACATATAATGTTATAAACTAATGTTACCTCAATTTAAAAAAAAGGTAAAGAAGATCATGTCACTTCCATGTTCAATACTTGGCATACCTTCCCTACTACAATTAGAATAAAATTTAAACTCTTTACCATGACCTTCACAGTTCAATATAATCTGGCCTTCTGAACCAAAGTGTACAATTAATGTACATGTAGAATAATCACTTACCTATTTAGGAAGTGTCAGGAAACTTTCACATGTATATTAATGAACAAATCTTTAGTTCAAAAATTTGGATAACTAAATTCCCATTTGAAAGGAATGAGCACTTTAAACAATATGAAGAAGATAAAACAACAAATTTACCTGATCTATCTGATCTTGTTGTCCTCTGTATACAGTTTCAGGATCAGAAGGAGGCCGCAGATGAAATTCGGAGTCACAGAAATTTCCATCACCATCGACATTGTGTAGGCTTTCCCAAACAACTTTTTCTTCTGTGAGAAACCCCTGGTCTGTTACCAACAAATACAGTAGACCCTTAATAAGAAATAAGAAAAAGGACTGTTAAATTGATCAAAGCTAGTTAATATTTAAGAGAAACTGTATAATCTTTTTAAAACATATAATTATTCCTACTAGTTAGATCTGCACAACATACTAAATAGTTGACCAAGTAGATATCTTATTTGCTCACTGAATTATATCCACTTGGCTTTGAATATAGTTTATAAAAGGTACACTACAGTATGATGAGAAACAGGAGTTCTTGGCATGTTCAACTAATTCATAACATAAATAGCCCTTGGGGTTTTTTAATCTCATTTCACAAAATAGAAAAATACTATACAAGTTCCTAAAAAATACATCAGATAACAAGATATAGTCACAATAAAATTATATCATATTGCCTGTTTTTTAAAAAAATTAAGCCCATATGACTAATCCATTTCATACCAATTCTTCCTTCTCTGCACCATTAGCAGCTCTTAATTTGTACACCAACAGTACTTTGTACTTTTTCTATAGAGGAGCATTAAATCACACTATAGAATGATTCTGTTTTCTTCCTCGTTCCCCAGACTGTATTTTTTAATCTATCTCTGGGCCTTGTGTAGGCTGTATCATAAAGTTGAAGCCTAATATTTATTGAATTAATCAATGAAGTCATAATGTATTTACAGTCATTACCATAGAATTTAGCATTGATCTCTAATTGCTCATATGCATTAGTTTTAACTCCAATCATATGTAAAGTGTCCCTAGTATACCATATACCATTTGTAAGCCATTTTTATTTCAGATTTGCCAAGGACAAGACTTTCATTTACTTGTTCAGAGTTCCCACTGGTTAATATAGTGTTTATTATTGCACAAGAATCATACTTTTCAAGTTCTCACTTATACACAATCTTAATAATTAATAATAAGAAATTCCTTTAAAGAATTTGGTGGCAAGGGTAGTGAATTACTGAATTCTGAAGCTTTAAAAAAAACTAAGTAGTTGTTATTTTTGAACATTTACTATGTGTACAGCACTATGGGACACAGCTCCTCCTGAAGTACAAAGTCTTTCCTGTTGTCTAGTAGCAGTTACATTCAAGAATCACCTGTAGGTACTGATTAATTTACAAGGTCACTGAAATTACTATTGCAACATGAAAAGGATTCATAAAGAAACACATTTTGGTATAAAGTTTAAAGACATTGTTTTAAGAAAAAATTAAGTCCAGGCTCATGTTTTGTTTTGTTTTTTAAATCAGGTATGTTCCAACTTATCAAATATTGAATGCCTCCCATATGCTTAGCACTATGCTAAGTGCTTGAGGATTCATATCATGGGTAGTAATGATCCCAACTTACTCTGGTATTAGTGCCCCTTTTATGTGACTTCATAGAATCCTGGACTTAACAGTATTATAGCACTTTATACATTGAATTGCAGTTGTCTGTTTACTTAATCATCTCTCTTAATACATTTTAAGCTCCTTGAGGACCAGAGCCCATGTTTTATTCACCCATGCAGTCTCATTACCTAACATATTTTTAATACCCAGTTAGGGTCTACCTTGTTCTGGGATAATTTAAGAGAAAAACTAATTTTCCACTGAATAGATCTGACCCTTCTCTTTATACTTATCACAATGCATTTCAACATATTATATAATATATGTTTTACAGTTTATTTTGTATAGATCATATATTAGATTGGCTGTTTATTGGGAAGGAACTATAATCTTATCAATTTTCCTCCAAATGACACTTTAGGATAGGCAAATTCTGGGAGCGTTTCTATTGAAAGCTACTATCATCCATAGCACATGAATATTTAAAAGTTTTAACTAAAAGTATCCATTTCTTGGTATAGGTGACCTGTCTTCTCATGGACCATCAGCCTCAATTTCTTCCTCTTTTAGATCTTGACATTTATCAAAAAAAGTCTGTAACTGGTCCACTGTCAACAATGCTGGTTATTACTTAAAATAACAAAGCATGTGTCAGTATAGTACTGAATACTTTAGGCCCATTTGTTCCTGAGAGTCTACAATTAAATCACCATCAAGAATATTTCTCGGGGGCTTCCCTGGTGGTGCAGTGGTTGAGAGTCCGCCTGCCGATGCAGGGGATGCGGGTTCGTGCCCCGGTCTGGGAAGATCCCACATGCCGCAGAGCGGCTGGGCCCGTGAGCCGTGGCCGCTGAGCCTGCGTGTCCGGAGCCTGTGCTCCGCAACGGGAGAGGCCACAACGAGAGTCCCACGTACCGCAAAAAAAAAAAAAAATATATATTTCTTGCTTTTGTATCCCAGCACTTTTGTTAATATTATCTAGCCAAAGCTTTCTTTTCTAAGCCTTAAATCTTCTGCCTAATCTCACTCACCAGTCTCTAAAATATTAGTTTCACAAAAAAATACAGAATGCATATATTAAATTGTTTATTAATGTATAAAATGTATGTTTATTATTACATAAAAACAAATGACATTAGATAATTTTTAAAATTTTTTTAAAATGGGCAATTAGGGACTTCCCTGGTGGTACAGTGGTTGAGAGTCCGCCTGCCAGTGCAGCGGACACGGGTTCGCGCCCTGGTCCAGGAAGATCCCACATGCTGCGGAGAAACTAGGCCTGTGCGCCACAGCTACTGAGCCTGCACTCTAGAGCCGTGAGCCACAACTACTGAGCCCGCGAGGCACAACTACTGAGCCTGTGCGCCACAACTACTGAAGCCCATGGGCCTAGAGTCCGTGCTCCACAATAAGAGAAGCCACCGCAATGAGAAGCCCGCACACCGCAACAAAGAGTAGCCTCCACTGGCTGCGACTAGAGAAAGCCCACGTGCAGCAACAAAGACCCAACGCAGCCAAAAATAAATAAATAAATATTAAAAATTTTTTAAAAATTTTAAAAATGGGCAATTAAATCACAAAAGAAGACTGAACGAAAACCTGTTCTATCTAAAATACTCTGATAATTCTATATAAAGTATATACGTTACTTTTATTAACAATATACATAATACTATCACATTTTGTAAACTGGTAAAATAGAAGAAAACCTGATAATGCAATACAAAAATTAAGTAATTCCAGCCTTTAAAATACAGAGGAAAGCACTGCCTGAATATTTCTGGTTAACTAGCTTGGATTTGAATTATTTAAAATCTTTGGACCTTAGTTTTATTTTCTTATAAAGTGATATAGAATCAGTGAGATGAGAGGATTTCTAAGGAATTTTATAAATTGAAAGATGAACTTTACTCCTACTTAACAAACATCAGTCTCACCTACAAGTAACTTTCTTACCCACCCAGAGAGGCAGAACTGTTGAGAGTGTGAAGTTAAAAGTCAGACTGGAGCTGTTTACAAGCTGTGTGGTCTTGAGCAAGTTACTCAGGGCTTTAAGCCTGTTCTCTCAGATGTAAAGTGGGAAGTTGTGAAAATTAAATGAGATAATGAACGTAAAATGCTTAGTATAATGCAGGGCACGTGAACAGCCCCTAAATCTATCTGGGTTTCTGTATCTATCTACTTTTCCTGCCTCTTATTTAAAAGGAAAAGCTGGATCTCTCTGCCTGTACTGTGGAATCACTTTTCTGTTACCACATTTCTTTCCCCTTCCCGCCTCTAAAAAATTTTTTTAAAAGAAAGTGACAATTTGGAAATTCCCTGGTGGTCCATTGGTTAGTACTCCACGCTTCCATTGCAGGGGGCATGGGTTTGATCCCTGGTCGGGGAACTAAGATACTACAAGGTGCGTGGCACGGCCCAAAAAAAAAAGTGACAATTTTTGATGTATCAACTACCTTTTAAAAATATCTAAATTAGGTGAATTTTTACTTAAATATAGCCTTCTGTGGAAAAAAAATTCCCACCATAGTCTTAGTCGAAGAGAAAAGTGAATGGACAAACTTATTTTATTTCTTTAATATGGCTTTAGTACTTATCTTGAACTGTATCTCCTAAACTACTCTCACTTCTAATCCTTAAATGTAAAGTAAAAAAGCAAACTAATAAAAGCCAACCTTAAAAAACATCTTGGTTTTGAATATACTCCAGAGATTTGTCAATAATTTAAAACCAAGAGGTAGAGGAAACAGTCAAGACATGGATATAAAAGTTGATATGGGAAAGGGATGATCAAGGGGGAGTCACGATGGGGAAAGAACTAGGCAGATGTCGTTATTTAACCAAAGATCTAGAAGCTAGGTGATCTAGACAGAGGCCAAGGAATCAGTAGTTTATTTTACTCAAGTAGTTTATTTTACTCAAGAGCAAGCAGGGGGGCTTCCCTGGTGGCGGGGTGGTTGGAAGTCTGCCTGCCAGTGCAGAGAACGCAGGTTCGATCCCTGGTCTGGGAGGATCCCACATGCCGCGAAGCGACTGGACTGGACCCGTGTGCCACAACTGCTAGGCCTGTGCTCTAGAGCCCTTAGGCCACAATTGCTGAGTCTGTGGGCCACGGCTACTGAGGCTCGCATGCCTGGAGCCTGTACTCTGCGGTGGGAGAGGCCACTGTGGTGAGGGGCCCGCATGCCGCGGCGAGGGCTGGCCCCCGCTTGCCGCGGCTGTAAAGTGCCCGCATGCAGCAGTGGGGACCCAACGCAGCCAAAAATAAATTTTTAAATTTATTTTTTTAAAAAAGAGCAAGCAGGAAGTATTAGAGAAGCGGAGGAGGATCATTAAAACAAAAAGGAATAACTAGATCTTGGATATAGAGTTATATATATAAGGATCCCGAAGCAGTATAGACCAAAATAGGTCTGTTTCTAGGAAAGTGCGGATTTATTTACAGCCCATTTTTATACTTTCAAATTTCCTGTCTGGTTAAGTCATCTTACTATTTAGAACCACAAGAATGGCCCTGAAAGCATGTGCACTCTCACTAGCATCTCCTCCTGCTACTTTCAGATCCTAATCTTAGTTATGCTGATGAAAAGCACAGATCTTCGTAGGATCATGTACTCAATGTGGATTTGCCAAAATGATCTGCCCAGTTTAACTGTACGAGGTTAGATGGAATTACATGGAGCAAGGTAACAA